CAGTTTACTTTCAATGTGTCCAATTAAGCTTAGGGGAGGAGGGAAAAGTTTGACTAATATAATGCAAATTTCCTTGTATATGCATATAAACCTATGCATATAGGTTTGCTCCTTCATCAGAGTGGGTTTTGTTCCTTAGGTTTTTTGTGGGTATTTGTAATAACTGGGGTTGTTTCGAAGGACTAAATAGAACAAGTCATCGTTTTTGTTTTTAACATCCATTTCAAGTTCCATCTCCCTTCTACCTTTCTTCTTAGGTAACCGGGAGGAATGGAAGGTGTCAAAGCTGCAGGTAACTGTTCATTTGGTGTTTCAGAGTTCAACTTTCTACTGAAAATAGAACTTCATCTCCACCCATATTTATCTCACTACTTGCAATTCTGTTTGAAGGCACACAGGCAGGCGTTTGAAAGAATGTGGCTCACTTTTCTGAAGCACCAGGTGAGGGGTACTTCAGTCACTGATCCAGATTGCTTTCCAGTTGCCAATCCTTAGAGGCTGCAGCCATCCTTTGCATGGTGCTCCTGGTAGGACCCCTCTGTGCTATTAGATGAGATCAGCGCAGTCACCACCTCTGCTGGGTTGTTCTCCTGGCAAGGGGACGTTACCTCATGTTTGGTCTTTTCCTTCTTACTCAGCCTTTTTCTCCACCTTAAACAAGCCTGCCCATTAGGAGTTATCTGCAGCATAACAACTCCTGTTTCCGAGCTGAATGTTCCCGAGCCTATTTATTAGTCACTTTCCTACTGCTTTTCCTTCTGAGCTGTGCTGATGCTTCTAGCTGAGCACCCACTTCTTAGAATGAACACAGTTGTCAGGTGTCACTTCTATGCTCTCCCATTTGTTGCTGTGAACCGTTGTTTTGTCCTCGCATGTTCCCTTTTGTTTGCCTTGTCTTTTTGAGCCCTATGTTGCTGTTGCTCTTGGAGTTCTCATTTTGGTGATCTGACTGTATTGCTTTGTCCTTCACAGCTACCCAGTGGCCTTTACAAAAAAGTTCTTGTTATTCTGCATGACTCCATCCTGCCTCATATGAATGAGCCCACTCTCATGATAGACTTCTTGACAGTGGCCTATGGAGTAGGTGAGCAAAAACAGGCTTTTAGCCTTTGTGTGTCTCTGCAGCACAGTACATACGTAGTTAGGAGGGCTGCTGGTTGCAGTACCACAGCTTTGGGTGGGATGAAGCTAAGGGACTGGGATGAATTCTCTTGTCTCCAAAAGTGAGATATGTTCACCTGCATCTGTCAATGTTTGATGGTTGTTATGTGTTAGGAAGATTACATTTTTGAACTTGCAAAGAGTTGAATATTGGAATGATTTCTTTTTCACACAGTTCAGGCATCACTGCTGATTCCTGGGCTGTATCCAGAAACAAGATGTGCAGTTTGCTTTAGAAATGGTCTTTCTGAGGAGGTCTTTTCCTTCTCACTGTAGCTTTCTTGGGAAATTAAAGCAGACTGTTTGTGTCTATTTGTTCTTCTAAACTACAGCTTAATCTATGCAAGTAACCTGTGATCCTCAGGAAGCTTTTGGCTGAGCTTCTGTCACCTTACAGCATCATGCTGCCTCTACTTACAGGCATTGTTGGTTTTGTGCTACTTCCAGGAAGGGTTAAGTAATGAAACAGGTCGTAGCTGATCATTTTATCTATCTATTGTACTGATAGATGCCTGCTTTCTTACAGGTGGAGCAATTAGTCTTCTAGCCTTAAATGGATTGTTTATTCTGATTCATCAGCATAATCTGTAAGTAAAAGGAGCACGTTGTTTAAAGGGACATGGCTGTCTGCATTTACATCTTCATGTAACCAGAACTGAAAAGAATTCTCTGCATCTTCAGGCTTTGGCTGTGAGGAAGCCCTGCCCAAGAAGCTGAGCTGTTTGGATGCTGAGCTATTCTGATAGTTTGACCTTTTTTTCAGCTGAGCCTAAATACCCTCTTCTTCACACTGCTCAGCTCTTGGAAATCAATTTCCATTGATCTGATGGTGTAGCAGCACACTGTAGTCTTTGGATCCTGTGCCATTTGCAGTCAGTGGATGTGTTTTCACATCTCCAGAACAGCTGGACACTGCACCAGCCAGAAGTTCACTTTACAGCTTGATTTCAAGCGGTGGCTGTGAAGACAAACCAAGGAAAGCTCAACAGTCACTCACAGCACAGCAGTAGTCTGGGGTGGTTTATGGGCAACACACAGAGGCATTTATAGACACAGTGTGGTCCTGCTGTACGTCACTAATCAGCGAAGGATGTTGTCTTTTTCCTTTCTGCCTTCTCAACAGGGAATACCCTGACTTCTACAAAAAGCTGTACAGCCTTCTGGACCCTTCTATATATCATGTGAAGTACCGAGCTCGCTTCTTCCATTTGGCTGATCTGTTTTTGTCTTCATCGTAAGCAGAACCTCTATTATATACATACATGTATTTTGCTCCTACTTTCCTGTTGGCCAGAATCTGTTCTTGAACAGTCTCCCATGTCTGGATTTAATGTATTCAGAGTGCCTGCTGAATTAAATTTGTTTTCTGACTGAGAAAACTGAATTCAAGAGTGTAACTGCAGTGCTGTGTAATTCTTCCTGTGATGGTTTTGAAGATGCAGCACACATCTGTCTAGTTTCAGAGCGTAAAAATGCAGTTCATTATCAGAGTTTGATCGGCAAATCATTACGGATGTATTTTGATCTGTATTCCAGTTTGGCTGAAAGTGATGCTTTTTCTCTCTGTCTTTATGAATATGGAAAAGGAACATTCGCAGGCTTTTTATAGACGCAGCATCATAAATCTGTTGAGAAATTGATGACCTTTTTGCAGACATGTAATATTGAAACATAAAGCATTTGACACTCTGTCTCGATGCTGTCATCATGCCCAGGGAAGAAACTAGATATGCAGCTGGTTATATAGTTGCCATCATATGTTGTAAAATAAACCAAGAATAATGCTCGGCACATGATATTTAATATCATCCCCCTTGTATTCATAGTGTTCTCTGGAGAGAGTAACAAGACCTGGCAGATGGTTGTACCTTGGGGTGGCTTTGCTGAGCCTTGCAGGTGTAGTGAGCTCTAAGGCTGGAGGCTGAGTGGCTGAAAATTGTCATCTTTCATCCCAGCTCTGCTGACCTGAAGAACGTGCCTACATGAGCTGACTGCTGTTAAAAATTTGCATTTCTACCATAAAAGAGAACTATTCTGCACATTTACGTTCCAGCAGCTTTATGTTCCCATTACCAGCTGCACTGCTTGCTCTAGAAGTATTATGTAAATTTAACACCATGGCACATGTATTAATTAAACCCACAGAACTACACTAGAAAAATATAATGAAGGTTGCCTGGCCCAGCACTCAGAAGTTTATAAAATGACTGAATAAAGACAGCAGTGTGAATGACCGTGTACAAGAGCTGTGCTTGGCTGCAGCAAGTGTTTGGAGCGGTGCCACGCGTCTGGGTTGAATCACGAACTGATCTGAGATTGTTCATGCACTGAATGGAAATGCCCCCAAATTTGTTCCAGACAGCACATAAGACCCTTTGTAACTGCTTGAAATCATGATTCTTTGCTGTGTAGTTCCATTTCACTTCACAGTCCAAAAAGCTGAAGAATCCCACTGGTCCTTAACCTGACATGCTGTCTGAGTTGATGAGTGTGTTGGTTCACTTGCTGGAACTCTGACATGCTGGTTTCTTCTTCCTTCCCCACAGTCACTTGCCAGCATACCTGGTGGCAGCGTTCATAAAGCGCCTGGCCCGGCTGGCCCTCACTGCTCCTCCTGAGGCTCTGCTCATGGTCATTCCTTTCATCTGTAATCTCTTTCGGAGGCATCCGGCCTGCAAAGTGCTGATGCACAGACCAAATGGGCCACAAGGTAAGAGGGAAAGGGGGGACTTCTGTGTTACACCTTTAGGCATCGTGAAGAGCAGGATCCCTGGAGAGATCCCGGCCCCAGTTGGTTCCCTGAGTTCCCTTTGGCATTACGGACATCACAGGAGGTATGAAATCTCTATCTCTTTCCTTAGATTTGTCAGAAGATCCATATATCATGGAACAGGAGGAGCCATCTGAGAGCAGGGCTTTGGAGAGCTCTCTCTGGGAGATTCAGGTATGTCACCTAACAAGGTACCATACACAGATGTTCAGCCTTCTCCCATCCTTGCTGCTTTCACGACACAGCTCAGCAGTCAGCAGCATCACTTCCATGAACCTGCTGACACACGTCTTGCAAATGAGATGAACTTCTGGCTACTTTTTTACTTTGCATCCTTTTCCATCCTTAGTGTAAGAGGCAAAGGATTTTACACACATGACAACTAGTGCCTGCTAATTAGTAGGAGTCTTCTCAGTACACATCTGATCATGCAGCTGAAAAGTGGGCTGTGAATAGCTGAAACAGAGTAAATAGTGGCGAATGTATGAGGTATTTTATTTGCTTTGGAGGGGAGAGAAGAGCATGATGAGCACTGATGGAAACTGAGTACAGATAGGTCAACCTGTAGAAATGACTTCTAAAATGCTGGGGGAAGATTGAAATGTTAACTTTTAACCTGGAACGTTTGTAGGATGGTGTACGAAGGCTGAAATTAGTTAAATTACTCCTGGTGACTCTGAAACCTTAGAGGCAGGATTATCACATTCCATTTAAATGCTACAGGGGTTTTGTGCAAGGTGGGTGTTACTGGAGAGCAGCTCAGATGCAGCATCAGGGCTCTGGAAGGTACCAGAATTGAGGTGTGCACTGTAGTAGCTATGGCCAGTGGAGGAGTCCATCTGTCTTGGGCTGAATGTGAACCTGGTGAAAGGGTGCTTTAATCCATATTTCTTGAAGCTGCATAGTAACACAGTACAGCAGACTTGCCTCTTTTGCCAGAATTAATGTTCATGACCAAAGGGTTGGTTAGATTGTTTGTTCCCTGTGTGGGAAACCAGATGGATGTGTGTTACCTTGTGCTCATTAGACCTTCTCCTCTTTTTCTCGCAGTCTCTACAAAACCATTATCATCCAGATGTGGCCCAGGCAGCTGCTATCCTCAACCAGTCGCTGTCTGAAATAGAGGACGACATATCGGGGCTCTTGGAGCTCTCAGCTTCTGAGGTAGTGATGCTGTGCTTTTGTGAATGATTCCAATAAGAGGAAGGAAAACTGCTTCCTGAATGCAATAGCCATGTCCTGGTCATCAGCCTTGCTGCTGAGGAGGGAGTGAGGCAGACTTTTGGTTACCTACAGCCAGGGGAAAGGGGAAGATGTCAGTTAAAAGGCAGAGCATTTGGCAGCAGTAGTAGCAGGCTTGTATTTAAAAGGTTAATTGTTGTATCTTTTACGGTGTTAGAGTGAGCACTGGTATCAGCCGTGGCAAAGGGCTTGTACTGAATTTTGTCAATATTTTCTCTTTTTGTAGCTTTTTGATAAAGAAATAAAGAAAACATCTGCTAATGTGCCGTTGGAGTTTGAGCAAGTACGAGGTTTGTTTGGGAAGAAAAATGATATCTTTGCAGAACACTTTGCTTTAGATTGATGCAATTAAAAACACATCTGCACAGCACACGGATCTTAAGGACCTGCACAAAACTCATGTGTTTTGCTGGACAATTCTGCCTTTGAAATATCTCTAAGTGGTGAAAGCTGGACTGCCTTCGAAAGGAGCGGCCTTCTTCAGTGACCTTTTCCAGTATCTACGTACGGACTTTCTTTCGTTGTTCCTCATGTTCCATGCTTACTTATTGCTGCCTGGTGTTTTGGAGGGGTTTCCCCTCAAAGTAATGTGTTTCCTGAACTTGTTCACTGTTGGCCCTTTTCTCAGGTGCTGGCTGAGATCAGTGACTGCACTGACAGTGCCTTGCTGCCACTCAGAGGGTCTGAGGGGAGGGGTGGTCTTGCTTCTACGTCTCACATGTGTTTGTTTCATACAAGAGCCAGCAACCATTTTTTAGTGAGTGACCTCAATAGGTAACTGTAAACATCATATTCTAATTATACTTTTTTTTTCATATTTACTTTTAAACTCCCTTCAGAGAGATGATTTAGCTTCTATACAGTGGTCTTAACATGCCCATGTTGATACATGGAAAGCTTAGGTTTGTCAAAAAGTATCTCTCAGGTGATGCTCAGTAATTCCATGAATAATGTGTTGCTAATGTTCCTTCACGTATGTTCATCTCATGCTGTAATGTTTCTTAATTCAAAACAGTCATGAGCTTTGGCAATGAGCATAATCATGGTGACTGTGTAGGGCGGCCAACTGATGTGCAATGGAAAGTAGTTTAATCCTTGATTTTTTGCTTCAGAATGATAAGCAGCTTAATGTAGTTTTGCTCACGACCTGCAGGCATTGCAGAAGCTGTGGCCAGTGTGTATGCAGGTGCTAATTAAGTTTTAACTACCCCACTGATATTAGAATGGCTTTGTTAATTTGGATTTTTCTTACGGTTCCAGAAGTCATGCAGAACTTCCTTCTGATAGTGTTTTCCAGGGTGTTAAGTGCTCTGCCTTGGTTTGAGGTAAACTCCTTGTTAAGAATGCAAATGAACTCAGGACCATTTTTGTAATTATTTTCACCGACTTATTGTTATCTCATTAGGCTTTGAAATCATGTTTTGTGGAGGGGAAAAATCCAGTCCAGAGGCCAAGAAAGCTCATTCCTGGCAGACAAGTCTGTTTAAATCAGGAAAATCTGTAGCTGTCTCAGGCACACTGTGTTATGTTTTCTTCATCCAGTTGTCTTCATGTTTTCTAAACAATGGACGTGTCCTCAGTGCAGAGAGCTCTGCCTCTTTTCCTCTGGTACTTTGTAGCTCTGGTGAGATGTTTTCTGGACTTTTTTTTTCTTCCCCCTTTTATTTATTTTTTTAAAGAACCTGAAAAAGTTATTGCGAAAAAGCATGGCATTCTCCTCCCTGGCCAGCCTGCTTTCCCATTTAGTGTGATAAAGACAGATTAGCTGAGATGATAACTTACAGTTTGAGATATCTCAGCTCAGGTTCACCTAACCTGTTCCAGCTTTAAAATGTGTCTCCTTATACCCATGTTGTGTTTCTGTTTATTAAATACCTAAGTGCTCTTACTCTGCAGAAATGCGGATCAAGTGACTACATTTAAAGGACGTGCATATATATGTGTATCATCATTTAAATGAAATGCTGTACCATAGAAATGTGTGTACGTTGAATACCTTTCTCTGCATCTTTCTGTTTTGCTGAAATTACTGCCGGACAATGTCATTCATATCTTCCATAGTACTGGCACTATGGGAGTGCTGGGATTCTTTTTTAATACACGAATATTAAACTGTTTGGGCAGTGGGCAGTCACAGTCTCATGGTATGGAAAATGTGGGAGTTATCTTGGGTTCTTGTAGCTGGAAGAAGGGTTAAGCTCTTTCTCAGTGGAGGTGACAGCTTAAACCCTGGATGGCCTTTACACAAGTCCAGAGACTTCATCCCCATCTCTGATGCTGCACATCCTCAAGCAATGTCCTTAAACCTCCTTGGAGAAGAGAGCTGTAAGCCTCTGCTTGTCCTTGGGAAAACATTCCACCTGGTCTTTCAACAAGCTTTTATCTTTAAACTTTCACCCTCTTCCCTCGATAGGAGGTATCAGGATAAAAAAAATCAGCAGTTATAAATATTGAAAGTTTCATCTGCACAGAGTGAACAACCCTTATCAGGCTGCACACCCGCTGCTGCTGTGCTCTACAGGTCTCCACGGACTGCAGATTATAGATGCTTTAATCATAGCGTGTATTAACTGGAAGGCCAGACTGAAGTACCAGGCACAGAGCACAGAAGTCACTCCTGTTATTATTTGATTGTTATCAGATGTAGGGAAGGAGACAGAGCTGTTGTGCTTTGTTCTTGTTGTTGTTTCAGTGAGCAGAAAGTGTGGTTTTAAGAAAACACTGACGTAGCCTGCCTGCCTGACCTGTTACTGCCTTATTCCCCCACCAGAGGACAGTGATAAGGTCTCTAGTTTGCAGTGGACTGCTCTTGGTTCTTTCTCTGAGCTTTCATTCATTTAAAAGCTGCTTAAAGTCATCCTAGCCCAAAGGTGACACTGCTCAGCAGGAGCATGATGAGATTTATCATGTGAGTTTAAGGTCCAGGTGACCGTGGTGTTCGTGTTAATCAGCTTAGATTTTTACTTTTTAGATGTTCATTGGAGGATAGAGGGAAATGACTGCAAACAGATGGAAAGGTGCAAATGCAGCTGGAGATTGATGCAGGCTTGCTCTGAAATACAGGGCTATCTACTCGGGCAGTCAGTGCTCACCTGTCCTCTTCCAGCACAGGGGAACGTAAGAAGGCTCGGCTGTAGGCTGGCTGTGGCCTGCTAAGAAATTAGATCTGCCTGTAAAATAGCATTTCACACCACACATTTGGACATCCCTGGTGGGTATTTGGAAGTGTCCAACAGGAATCCCTGCCCGTCTTCTTAGCCAAATGGGAGTCCTCTGCTCTGTGGAGCTCTGGGTGGCCTTGGAGGGTTAGTGGCTGCTGCTCCTCTCAGTGCACGCAGGCTGGACAGTCTGCTGATAAACTCTGCTTTAGCTTCAAGAGGGCCAAGTCCCACAGGCTTACAAGTGTTCAGAAAGCCAACCGGTAAGGAGTGCTTGGCCTTGATGACCAGCTGCTATTAGCATTAAGGCTAAGGTGGTCTCCTAGTGCTGCAGTGCAGCTGTGACCACCTTTCTGCTGCCTAGTTTTGAAGAATGAATGAGCTCTTGTGCAGTTTACAGCCCTGCTCAGACAAAGGAGGACTACCAGACATCAGTTTGACTGACAGCAGCCTTCTCCAGCACTATCACAATCGATATTCATTAACTGAAGTCTATTGGACGTGGGGATTTTCTGTTATTAATTAGCCAAGTGTCTATCTGGGTGTAGTTTATGAAGGAACTTTCAGGTCTGTAACTAAAAGGAACTGCTTTTCTGTAGTTTTGTAGCCTTGTCCCTGGGCTTGGAAAGGAGAGAGAGCCACAACTCTTAGATCCAGAAGAGAGAAACAGCAGAGGGAAACTTCTCTTCAGAGCTGAACGGTGATGTGGTTAGTGCATGGCTTCAGAGGTAACTGCCTTGCTTCCCCGTGGTTTCTAAGCTACCATCTTGTATGCACAAGACAGGAGCAGAACCTGAGCTGTTTGGGAACATCAGCTGCTCAGCCTGGTGTCTCTGACCCTCCTGCTTGGGGATCTGGAGCTACTGGTCAGGCACTGGCACCACACTGCGACCCAGTGAGCTCATCCCATCCTTATAGCTGGAGTGTCTGTCAGAGATGAACACTGGCTCTTCACAGGCTGCTGTGCCAAATTGCTGAGAAATAAACCCTCTCCATCAGGGTGTTGTTGTTGACAGTGCACTTAGGACGATGCGAGCGTCAACTCCATCCCAGCAGAGTTAAACCCTGCAGGATCCCTGCCCTGCTGGTGTCCCCATGTTGTTGATAAACGAACAGAGAAAACCTTATCAAAATGAACAGACTGCAGCCCTGTTAATGTAGCTCCACTTGTGCTGAAGATAATTGATGCTTTAATAACGCTACACATTATCCAGATTGTGGTTGGAGTGCATATGTGAGGAGAGGCATCAATCACAGGTAGTTGTATTCAACTTTTATCAAATGTTTAGGTGGGTGGCAAGGTGCATTCCTGTGCTGCTCTCAGGGAAAGAGCATTGGGATCTGAGATAGCAAATGAATGAATCATCACCTGCCTTTTGCCTGTATCAATTTCCTGCGGATTGGGAGCGCGAGGATTTCCGTTTCAATTGTTGCAGCAGGACACAGGAGATGCCATGTGCTGCTGTGCTGGAAACAGACTTGATGAAAACTGCAGCTCCCACCTGGAGGGCATTTGGTCTCAAGATCCAGTAGTGATGAAGAGCCAGGTCTCTACATGTTGATGCAATCTGTGACCACCTGCCAGCCTGTGGGCAGGCCATGGGGATGGCTGCTGGTTATTCACCATGGGGCCTCATGAAGTGCTTCCATTACTCTGGCTGGATCCAAGGGTCGGCGTATGCTGATCTCGTGTTTGATGTATCAGTGATATCTGACATTTCCATGGGGTGGCTCCAAGCCTCACTGAAACCAACAGGAGCTGGGATGGATCTGCAGACAGATCCCCTGCTGGTGCATCCTTTCCCAGAGCCTGGTGTCCTGCACTTGGTGCATCATGTGTGAAGCAGTAGTGGGCAGCTTTGAGAAACAGTACTCTCCTGTGGAGCTTTTTCCTTATTAAGATGATTCCTGACAGACATCCTGCCTGCCTAAAATGCTTCCTTTTCCTCTGTCTCATTTAGTAAATGAGCTCCTGTGCTCTTTGAGGAGCTAAGTATAAATATTGATGAGAGCTTTCATTCTATTGCAGCATGCCCACAGATTTATGGCTTGGTTTTAAGAAAAACTCTTTATTTCATGCTTTTGAAACAAATTTCATATTTTTATACAGCAGGGATCGTTTGCCCAGCAAAAATCCTCTCCAATTTCTGTCCCAAAGAGTGGGAGGTTGCAGCTCCAGGTCCTCCTCCTTGGGGGTGCTGCTGTCATTGGTAACTTATGCTTGAGGCTGTAGTCCTGGCAGTCTGTTATGGTGTAACCTGCAGAGAGCAAGTGGTGGGGAAGAGGATGAGCTGATTCTCAGCAGCCAGCACGGCTGCTCTGCTGGGAGCATCCTGCATGGCTCTCCCTGTAGCACCACTACCCCAGAGAGCAGCTGCAGGGCCGGCTCCTGCCTGCACCCTGTGCTCGTCCCTTGTTTCAATGGAGCTGCTGCCCTTCATGCTCTGTGCAGTCGTGGCAGCAGAAATTGCTATTCAGTAGTTTTATCTGCTGCCAGTCTCTTATCTCCTTGTTACAAGGCTGTAGAAAAATCTGCTTTTTGAACCATCAGCATGCATGGTCATGGAGAAGAACAGATTAAATAGCTCCTGTTTGAACCTAAAAGGTGATCAGAGAGAAAAGCGGTGTGCTCCTAGCATCAGTCCCACCATAGTGATGCAGGGAGCACTGAGGTTGTTTGGTCTCAGAAAAGAATCTCAGATTCTCCTCAGGATAAAATAAGGGAGTAGAAGCTCATGATGCAGGAGGTTTGTCTTGCTGGAACAAGCACTGTACCTGGGCAAAACGTATGGAGGAGTTTGCATAGCCAAATAAGTGCCTGGTACTCAGTCATGGGCTCAGAAAAGGTTGTCTCATGGGCTCTGCTGGCTTTCAAACCAGTGATGGGTGAGAAATGTTCATGTGGATAAGTAATGAGGACAGGGAACATCCAATTAAGCACTCGTCTCTGCCACCAGTAGGAGCTATGCCTTTATCACTCACAGAATGCTTCATAAAGGCTCTTGATGGTTCCCACTGAGTACAGCAAAACAGAACAGATAGCTGGATTCTGTTTCTGCATTAGGTATTTCTAACATTATTTCTAACGTTGCTGGTCTAAATATGATCTTCCTTTGTTTTATCACTGTTTGGAGTGCCATTATCAAAGTGAGATTAAAATAACTACCTAATAAAATTCCAGATTAAGCTGAAACTATGGTACATCTTTGCAAGCTGTAGAAAGGTAATAGCTAACTGCATGGACTTGGCATGTTGTCGAATAACTGCGATAAAACATGTTGATTCGCTTTATAGTTTTATGTCTGTCTCTGCATAATAACCATAACTACAGTTAGCTGCTTTTGGGCTCTTAGAAAGATCTCCTTTGAATTTATAACTTGTTGCATGCGCTTTGTTTGGCTTTTACAATCCCCAAATAGCTTAAACAAAATACCAACAGTAAGCAGGACTGGGATTGGTCCTCAGGCATAGCAGCTGGGCTGGTGCAGGGAGAGAAATGCCTCCCTGCTGGAACATGCTGAGCTCACCATACGGGACCCTCACAACTCCAGGAAGCAGAGAGCTCACAGAACACAGCACTGCTATTGCCTTACAGAACTGATAGTACTTGTGTATTCCCTTGATTCACCATTTATTCTTTCAGTTCAGATCAGTGATCCGGCACTTGGCTCTACTTAGGGTATTGATCAGTCCAGAATCCCATCTGCTACTTTGCTGTAAGATATTGTAAAACTGTTGTGAAGCCTTGAAATGTTTCCAAGGAAGTATGGGTGCCTTGTGTTCTCCTTGCAGATGAGGATCTCAGGGAGCAACTCTGAGAGGCAGGTGAGGGAGGATTACCTGAGCAGCCTTACAGAGGGAAAATTAGAATTCATTTATAGCTGGAGCACCAGAAGTGAAAATTAGCTTTTGTGTGTTTGCCTCTGAGTGCCAACATCGAGCAGTAGGGTCAGGTTTAGCTGTGAGCTCTTAACCTGTGGTAAGATGATACATACCTTCAAGACAAAAGGATGCAATAGGAGTCAGTTGTATGTATGTAAGGTCCTCAGTGCTGCCCTGCAAGCTGGCTGTGCTATACAGAACTGCTATGGACAGGGGACAGCAGGAACTGCCTGCTGTGTGTCCCCTGAGCTCCAGCACAGAACCTGCTATTGCCAAAAAGGGAGACTTTAAAGGCTCTGAGAAGGGACAGGCAGGAAAGAAGATCAGAGGGAGACTGCAGTGCTGCCTCAGAGGAGTTTTTCTCCACCCACACAGGAGTGGGAGTGTGCCATATGAAAAGGGGCTGCAGGCGCTTCAGAGGCAGAGCTGTGAATCCCTTGAGCAAAGTTTTCCTTTGAATTAGCCAAGCAAAGTTTCCTCTCTCTGCTGTGAGCCACTGCAGGGTGCTGACCCTGATTCCCAGGGCTGGACACAATGTGCTTTTGGGCTGCCTAAAAGCATCAGCGTATGTTGGGCAGAGCTGTCTGTCCTCCATCTCATGGGGAAAGCACAGCAGCCACAGGCTTCCCCAGCTCCCAGCAAAGCCTCCCTTCTCCATATATCCCTCCAGGCTCCAGCCCTTCCTCATGGCTATGCTTCCAGGAGACTTTTTTTGAACGTGTGCGAAAAGCCCTCGGTAGGGTTGGATTACTTACTGAGCATAAACGATGCTGGAATGTTAATGCACATTTCAAAATGAATGTTACAGAGAGGATGATAAGTTTGCTAAGTGCAGAAGTGCTGCACCAAAGATGAATTCAGCCTGGGGTGTTTTCTGGCAAATGTGTCAGCATCAATCCCTGCATACTGCTCTGAAACGCTCCAGCTTTTCTTGACACATAAGCTGTGAGAACCCCAGAAGAGGCAGGGACAACAAGGTCTAAGCACTAGAAAAGTAACTGATCCCCCCCAAAAAAATCACCCCGAGGGTTAGCAAGCCACCAACAAATACAACAATAGGCTGGAGTTGCAGAGCATCCCTGGAAGATGAGAAGATCAAGCCCTGGAAGCTGCTGTCAGGGAAACCAGCAGGACTGAAGTCTCCAATGGCCTGGGACTAATTCAGCCCCTGTCTGTAACAGGCGAGTGATGTGGTGGATGCACTGGCTGAGGAGGTGGATTTGCCTGGCACAATGTGCATTTTAATTGCTCATTTTCTTTTTCTTTCTTTTTTTTTTTTAATGTGATTTGATTGCAAATTATGCTTTCTGCATTTGTAATTAGAATGTATAGCAGATGGTGGAAGCTTTGGCTGAAGTGATGTAGCCATTAAAATAATTCATGCTATCCCCTGATAGTTCGCTGGGAAAGGGGTGTTCTCATGTGAAAATACCTTGGGAGGTGCTTCACTGCAGACACCCTTCTTAAATAGTGCTGGAAAATGGTGGAAATCAGCAGAGTCCCACTGAGCTCAGCATCCAGGCTACAGCAGAGCACCTAGGAATCTGTTCTCCAGGGAGAGACCCACTTGTCCTTGTGCAGGTGAGTGATGTGCAGTAAAAATGCTGAACTAGAGCCTCAGAAGAGTGGTGAATGTTCATCATATTTTCAAAAAAGTGAGGAAAATTTCCAAAGATTTGCTTAAATATAATTCAGACTGACTTTCAGGCTTGTCCTCTTACGCTGGGAATGCTTGCATCCCTTCTGGCTGTGCCACACTTACCTGCATGCTCTGGCTGCTGCCTGGGAACAGTCATGGCCACCTTTGTTCTTTAACACAGCAGTACTGTGAGCTCTTCCAGTTGTAGATGTTATCTAAAAAGAATTAAAGAAATATATTTACAAACATAAGCACAGGTTTCATTTAAGACAACAAATAACCAGGAGAAGCGAAATGGCAGTAATTCACTCCCATTTTTCCCCTGATGTTTTTGAATGCCTCAAGTTTTCCTCTTATGCTTTATGATGTTATCATGCTCCTGTCTAAACTACTACCTTAAAATACGTTCTATGGGGTTATTTCCTCCATAAAACACTGACAATAATAATTTCCCCTGTAAAACCTTCAGTTCTTCCTTGCACTGCAATTTTGGATCTGCCAAGCCATCTGCACGTACGGTTGGTGAGCAGGTACCTGCTGTCTCTTCTTACCACAAAGATATCCCTCAACTTTCTTAAAATGAAACATTTTTCCTTAAGTTCAGGTATCTATCTGCTGGAGGAGTGAGCGTGGGAGGGAGGAAGGCCTTGTGTGGTACCAGCCTTAGGGTCTCAGGTAAAGGATTTTTCCAGTCATGTAGCAGCTGAGGCTTATTTATGGGAAACAGTGAAGTTATGAATCCAATTCTTCAATTTTGGTAGTATGCCTAACATGCCTAATGAATGCTCCTTCAGCTCCCTGCAGATGAAGGCAATGCTTGCCCAAGACAAAGCAGCCTTTTCCGCTCCCCAGTGTTTGAGACACTTGCATCTAAAGGTCAGGCCGTGGCCTAGTGCTTATGCTTGGTGGGATGCTGAGGCACACGACAAAGAAGCTGGGCAGCAATTCAATCATCTCCCTTCTTGGTGGTGGAGGGGGATAGAGGCAATCAGTCAGAAGCAAGGTAGGCAGCTGGCAGAGCTCATTCTGCTTTTGTTCAGTCCTGTATCCTCAGAACCTGCACCTGGGATGGCTGTGCAGGAGACCAGAAGATAGAGCAGAAAGTGCTCAAGGGCTGAGGGAAAGCTCCATTGGTAGCAGCAGTATTTTTCAAGGTTGCATGGCTGTGAGAGAAGAACTGTTCCCAAGAAGAATCTTTGGATCCTCATTATGTGAAAGTAAGATGGCAGATTTGGAAATCCTGGCCCAAAGTGCATCTCATTTCCCTAAGTCTGACAACCAGACACTGCAGCTCTCGTCAACACAGGGAGCTGTCAGCATCCCATCACACCTCAATGACCAGCACATGATAACCCTTCATAATTGCTGTCCTAGAGCTGACTTGATGGATGGATGTTTTGGTGCTGCTTTGGACTGTAACCACTGCAGACTCTTCGCAGCAATACAGGTGGGCACATCCAAGAGTGAGGTTTGCTGGATTTCTTCACTCCAGGGGTTTGCTGTAAGCACACTGCAACTCCAGTGGGGCAAACTGCAGGGGAAATTGGCTCCAGCATTGCCTGAGCTACACAGAGCTCTTCCTGCTGTGCTAAATTCACGCGGGCAGCTGCAGTAAGGTGTGTGCTTTGGGCAGGTGGCAGTGGTTGAGCTGCTCCCAGGAAAGAGGTGACAGAAGCACAGCATGTTCGCTTTGTGCTCGGTAGCAGGTGCTGCAGGCCATGCTTCTTTCATCTTCTGTATCTTGTGCAAATCTTCCCCAGCACTCTTTGCAGGCTGTCGCTCACCTATAGCAACGTCCCCTGGGAGAAACTGTGCTGGTGCAGATCCTCTGTATGAGCTGTGCCAGGGCTCCCCGCCTGTGACAGGGCTCTGCTTTTCTTCTTTTAAAACTTATCTTTCTTCTTTGCTTTAAAAATAAGAATTAATGTGCTGTTCATCTTTTATTTCCTTTTCATGCTCTGAGCAGTGAGTAATTAGAACTACATCACACTGGAGAAATTACAACAATATAATATTTCTACAGTTAAATCTGCATAAGTATAATATCTTTGAAAAATAACGAGCTCCTCTAAGAGAAATTAATTATCCCACTGGGACAGTCATTATTCCAAAGCAAAAGAGCCCAGGTTTCTTTGCTCGCTTTTATTTTGAGGATTTCTTTCACTTGAAGTACTGGCCCCTTACTCCAGCCATTTGTCTGTGGCCAGAACATAAATAACAATATTAAGTGGTGTAAAGTCTATCCTGGAGACTTTTACAGATCTCACGAGAATATTAAGAATCTTTAAAATTAAGTCCAAGTGCATTTTGCAGATCTGTTTCAGTGCTATCTATCATCACTGCTCATCCACTGGCTCAGCCCGTCACGTCTCATTTTCCTGGGTTAGTTCTTTTCTTGTGAGTTTCTGCTGCTGCTTCCCAGGAACAGGACTCCACTTATCAAAATAAGCATATTATCTATCATAATATTGTCTACCCACACTCAAATCATTATATTTAAGACAAGACTTCTATTTCAGGATGGGATGGCACAGCTGCACACTGTGTGCCTGCATTCGACATCTGCACGCAACCCTTGGGAGCCAACCTGCAGACCTGGCAGCAGCAGGTATGACTGCAGCCATGCACAGCACATATGGCTTAAATCACCAGCTAACATAGATGATTGTACGAAGGTAACTTTAAAAAAAAAAAAAAGGAAAGAAAAAGCAACAGAAGCACAACACCTCAGTGCTTTCAACAGACTGCGTCTGGTGGGCTCTGAGGGGCTCTGCCCCAGCAACCAAAGCCTGCTGTCAGTTTTCAGTTGTGCCTGTGAGCACTTTTGCTCTTATGGTGACTTGCAAGGTTTCTGGTTGAATCCCTGACAGCTCCAACTACTCTGTTAGCCTTCGTTTTTCTGCTGGACCTAATCAAAGATACTGTTTGTTAAAATCCTATTGTGTCGGTAGCAAGAACAAGGACAAGCTCCTCTGTGGTGATTTAACACGTCCGACAGTTCAGTGTAGAGATTTATTACAGCCAGCAGAAAGTGCAAACATGCAATGCCCAAGTCATTACTTTTAATTTGCCATTTCTTTAAAAGAAATGTATACACAAGGCTAAAGCCCAGGCCCTTCCTTACAGCTCAGTGTAATCTCTTGTCAGCCAGGGAACACAGCAAAGCATAAAGCTGTGCCCTTCCCTTCAGGGACAGGGAGATTTAATTCCCTCAGCCTTTTAAAGGCAGACCATCATGCTCCTGCCACACAAGTTTTCAGACTAGAAACTGATCTAAAGCAATGGAGTTAACCAAGCCCAGTGGTTTAAATTACCAGTCTGCCTTGGATCTTTCTGAGAGGTTATGGCAAAAGCCCACAGAAGTTAGCTAATTAAAAAGATTTCCTTTCAAAAAAATTTTATTAAGTTGTCAAGGACAGTATCATAATAAATACACTTAGCAGAAAGCTAAGTGAGAGAGCACTACTAAGAAAATGCCATGATTCATACCCCTCTTCCCCCAAGCTCTTCAACTGCTTATCTAATCATACGTCATAATTATTTGCAATGATGTTGAAACCCTCACATGACGCAGTAGTAAGTCAATTACAAAAATGGCTTTAACAGAGAGAATAAAGGCAGTGTGTGCTTTTCCATCCTATATGGATGGGGCCCATAGCAGCCTGCTCTAGTGGGTGGCAACCCTGCCCCTGGCAAGGGCTTGGAACTGCACGCTCTCTAAGATCCCTTCCAACCCAAGCCATCCTGTAATTCTCTGATCTGCACCCAAGAGAACAAAGCCCTGCCTGATCCTGCCCACTATGAGCCAAGGTCCACGTCTCAAACACAACCCCACAGCAAAGCTGCTCTGGGAGAAGAGAGCATCATCACCAGCTGTACTGCTCTGCAGCCTCATCCCTGCTCCTGTCCAGAAGGCACGGAGCTCATCCGATTGTTCCACTCATTGTGCCATGGGAATCACTGATGGATTAGCTGAAGGCTGATTTTCAAGCACAAGAAATTCTTTGGCAACCAACAGAAGCCCATGATTGCTTTGGAAATTGCTGAGGCAGATAACTGGTATTACAGAGCTGCGCAGAGAGCTTGTGCTACTTACATCATGGCTTAATTAGTTACTTCTGATACAGCAATAGAAATGGCTCATATTGCAAACCACCTCAGCCCCCTCTCTGTTTTCAGGTTTGTCATATTTGTCTTTTTACTGTACTTTTTTTTACTGTATTTTACTGTAAATTAAATTTTACTGTAAATTAAATGAAGCAAGGGGAGGAATAATACATATAATTTGTAGCATCAGCTCTTGGCAGGATCTCAGGCCGTACCTCCACTGCACTCAGTGCCACCATCCGTGGAGCAGTCACCAGCAGCCCATGGGGAAGGGCTCTCCTTGCTCTGAGGGCCTGTGTCCTCTTGTCCTCCAGGCTGAGCTGATGCACTGAAATCCTACACGGCCTTTCCTGTAAAAGGCAAAATGTTGTTGTTGTCTTTGATTATGTTTTGTCTGGAAAAATTGCTCTGAAAACAGCTTGTGCCTGTGATCTCTGGACAAGTTTCTCCTGTAATTCTGTTGTGACCTTTTCACTATCCTTCCAGGAGTATCTTTGAAAAAAGAAAGAAAGAAACCCAAACCACAAAGTTGTAAAGAGCTGTTTTCTTTCTTCTACCTTCAGAGACCTTTTCTTCCTCTCCAGAAGCATATACCTTACTTACAGGCTTCAAATCCTACTGCAAGATCAGAAGAAAATGGCCAAAGCCATGGGTGGCAGATAGCTTTGGGCAGAGCACAGGCGAAGTACAGTCTCAAACCAGTTTGCATTAGTGAGCAATATGTATTTTACCCGTGGGAAAAGTCACACTTAAATTTCTTTTCAGTGTGATCCCTGCAGAAGTGACAGATGTCTGCTGAGGCAGGAATTAGAGGGAATATGTGAATGTGAAGAGGAAAAAGGAGAAAGAAGCAGCCTGGAAAATGAGCTGAAAGACGTCCCCAAATATGAACGCACTAAAATCTTTGCTCCAGATGTTGAAATGTTGAACACAAGCTTACAGGAGATTTAAGAACACTTTTCAAGTGCTATTGCATTATACAATATTTTTTTCCAGATCTAGGTCTTGGAAAAGGAAAACTTTTGAACAGCATTTCATTTCCTCCCAAAGTGAAAAAGGTACATAATAAAAGCTTCATAAGATCACCTATCTTATAACATACTTGTTTCCTCACAGGCCGTATTTTCATCGGCATTCCAGTGCTGAGTGTTCACCCAACCCTTGGCTTTTGTTGCCAGCAGCAGTATACAGCAAAGCAGACCTTATGTTTGGTGTTCAGTGCACTCTTAGGCTTCTAACACGCTTCTTTAGCAAAGCTGCATGCAACCAAGTTTAAAATATCACCATGGCAGCAGCACAGTGAGTGATATCAAAGTGACTGACTGACCAAGCTGCAATAACTGGGCACGTTTTACTGCTGCTTAATTACTAAAACTCAGGTAGCTACATCTGTACGTATGTATGTATGTATGTTTGTTTGTTTCCCACTTCTTTCCTGATTTTAAGGGTGTTTACTGCAAAACACTGTAGGGGACACATTTCCCAAGCACATGCCTGACCCACACATTCAGTTTTCTGAAAGCCCACCACCTGATAGTCCCACTGCCAGTACATTACATGCCTCCAAGCCAGACTTAAAGCTCTGGTGATGACACAGTCACTGGTATAGATAATTTGGTTCCTAAATGTTTTCTTTGTGAACTGAAACAACATCTTCGAGCAGTTTCTTAAATGTCATTTCTTGCACTACACAAAGCGAGCAATAAACAATAAAATTATTCACCTTGAAGAAACCATCTGCTGTCATTAAGGACATCACCACTTTTTTCTTGCTTTGAATGGTCCTCTGAGATGCTCTAAGTGTCATTAAAATGCTATGTTTGCCGTTGTCTGTGTGCCAGACTCATTTTGCTTTAGAAACAAAGATGATGATGGGTAAAATAAGCAGAAATTTCATTCTCTATTAGTTTGTATATTTCATCTATTTTGTAAATGTCTTTTAAAACGCTTGGCATTTGGACATATTATTTGGGAGCTGCATCAGAAGCACTAAGCTCTTGGATGTGCGGTGCTCTGAGCGCACTGCTCTGACCCAGCACCACGCTCTGCTGGGCCTCAATGCTCACTCTCTGCTGGCTCAGTGCCTCCCCCACACACCCTTTCTCAGCACCAAGCTGACCTTTGTGACATGCTGTGCAGAGCAGCTTGTGATGCTGAACTGCAGCAAAGCATGGTTAAAGTTAATCCAGGGCCATCTGTCTCCATTTTCCTCATCTACTCAATCATAGATGGAGAGGACAATGTCATCTGGAATGAAGGTTTAGCTCCCTTCCTCCTCCACACTCCTCCCATGCCTGCAATATACCTGCTCACTTCTTTTCTTGGATTTGCTCCTTATAATGAGGGCACGCCTGAGATGGCAGCGTGTCCCTGTGCACTGGGAGATCCATCACAGCCTAAAGAGGATTTGTTGCCTGTTCCCTGGGTCATCGGTGCAGCCCGAGTGCTGCAATGGTCAGCCAAAGGCATGCAGAGCTGGTGCAGCTCCCTGCCACTCATCTCCCAGTCTTTCTTGCTTCTTTAGCTGGTTTAAAATGGAAAGCTCAGCAGCTCCCCCCTAAAACTCCATCCCTGCTTTATAAAAAGACTTGAGGCTCAAGACAGAAAAATGGTTCAGGAAAATCCATCTCAAAACTGGTCTTTGCTGTCCAGAACAACAGTTCACAGGAGGTGAAAAGTTGTGCATCTGCCCTCAAGACACAGCAGCAGCAGAATGCCTCCTGGAGGCTGGAGGTACTGAGGGCCTGGGGGGGGAGGTTCCGAATAAAGATCAGTCTGAAAAAGGTCAGGTAAAATGCTGCTTTCTCAAAAGAACAAAAAGTTGATAGCTGCATTCAGAATAGGCTGGGAAAAGTAATGGGTTTTAAAAATAAAGCTTTCTTGTTTTAAATGCTACATAGTCGGGGATGTGTTATTTTCCTCCTAAGCCTGGAAGGGCAGATCATTGAGACAATAGGCTGTGCCATGCAGGATTCAACTTTAGTTGCAAGGTTGTAAGGTTTATTTCTGGAGTCTAAATTTATGACAAAAAACTTCCCCAAACGCAGCCAATACAATGAAAGGCAATCAAACACTAAGAAAAAGCAATCAGATTGAAGACAACCCACTGTTATTAATATAGCTGAAACCAAAAGCTAAGGTCTGTCAGCCTTAACAAATAAAATTATTTTTTTCTTAGCTCCACTGTCGTTAATTGCTCCTTCTACCAATCGAAGCGTTACAAAAATATAAAGAAAACCTTCAAGTCAAACCGAAGCTTCTCTTAAAATGAAATGCAACAAAAGCTCAATAAAGGCAGCTTGGGATTCCAGTGACATCAGTTTAGCTGCTGTGGTTTCTGATGTCATAGCATCCTTTGATGGGATTACTTCTGCATGTTTCATGACCCATTCATTATCGTACCCATACTGTAGACTTCATATTACAGTCAACAATAAAAAATACCCTTGGCAACCTCCATTACATTCTGCAGTTAATTTGTGCTCTCGCAAAGTGCTTATATTTACTATGAGTGATAATCATACATATGCATGAGACCTTAAGTGAAGGAGAATGTGCTTAGGAGCCAGCACAGAGGGAGTTTTGCCTCCAAGAGATGTCAAAATCAGTTCACTTTTGTTACATATGAGTAATTTAATTTCTTTTACAGTGTTATTAGGGCAAGAATGAAGTAACATTCTTTGGCATAATTGAAGCAAATCCCAGCAAGACGAGAGGATAACAAAACCTTCCCATCTTGTCATGTCAAATCCTTACCTACTCTGTAGGGCACGCAGACACATATTCTCGGTGTCGAATTAAATTATCCCTTTAAGTTTATTAACTTGTTATGTCCCACGACCTTTGGTATATTTACCGTTGGATCTTTACATTTCCTTCTTTCTTTAGTTTACTCCCTCACAACTGACCTCATTTTTGCATCAGATCAGAAATAGTATTGGCATTCAATCCTTTTCCAGTGGCTTCTCTCGTTAAATCCTTCAACGTCATCTTCATTTCCAGTACTCCAATATGCTACAAACAGCCAAGGAGTCTGTCTGCACAAAAAGATGCTGGAGGCTCGATCTCTCCTTTTCCCCTACAGCTCCTTCTGTAGCAGAAGAGACTGCTCAGAGCCCACGGGCTGCAGCCATGTCAGCCCCATGGGACATGAGTGCAGCAGCCAGGGAGCTGGGGCAGGCTGCAGCAGAACCGTGCTGCTGCTGCCTCTCTGGGTGGTTTCATTGATTTAAAGCTGCCACATCCTCTGGAGCAGAAATCAGAGCTTTTTCAACATGACATGCAAGTCATAGGAAAACTAGTTATTTGTAGGATGGACGAGCCATAGCAGCTAAATCATGTGATACTTTATTGTTTCTGACTTTGCAGCATTTCTGATGAAACCCAGAACAAAACTTCTGTGGAGTAGGTAGCTTTTTTCATTTTGTAAATGAGCATCCTTCTCAGCTTCACAATGCAAGTACCAACAGATGGCTGTCAGGCAGGGTTTCTCAGTGGTTAAGCCCTTGTAACCTTGCAGGCCTGTGATCACTTGGATGCACTTATGATTATTTAAAGCTTTGAATTTATCATATTTGGCTTTAATGGGAACTGGAGTTGACCAATGAAACAATTTGTATCTGAGCCCAAGAAAGGCAAATTTTACGTACGACAGTGGCCCATTTCAGGTACCAGAGGTGGACAAGTGCTCACTTGTATCCCTCCTGCTTGCTTTCTGTCCAGTACATCCAGTATAGTCTGAGAACAGAACAGTCTGATATTTGATACTTACCAAATTTGAAGCACACACTGCTTGGAATGCTCCAGCATGGCAAAGGCATATTTAAATGCTCAAACTCCTGCTACCCTGGCTCAAGATCTTGAGATTCAGCTGTGCTCTTCTGTTACTGCCATCCCTCCTACCTCATCTATAAAACAAGAACAAATACTATTTATGCTCCTGTGTAAAGCTCCTGAGAGCATCACAGGAAAGGCAGTGTGCATGTGGATTTATTATTGGGTCTATTTATACGATGAAAAGTAAAAGGACAACACATAAGCAACTTCCAACAACTCATTTTTGCACTGCTTAGCCTGAGGAGGTTATTTTGCACAGTTGCTCCAGAGAAAGCAAGCTTCAGTGCTCTGAGCAGAGCATGCCCAAAGGAAGAATGCACTAAGCACCGGGCTCAGGAAAGCCCCAGCTTACAAATCAGCTTATCTCACCCATGCACAGGGTAGCCTTTTTCACATGGTATTTTAAACAATCCTCAGCTTGTGAATTCCTGAATCTGTGAGATAAAGGTAAGTCATCATAAGATGAACCTCAGCTCCCTAGAACTGCCTAACAGGAATGGAGAGAAACAAAATAAAGGAGATATTTCCCAGATATATCTGATTTATATATCAGGTATATCTTGCAGATGTTATATGTCTCATTTATCTTATTCTTCCATTTTGTATTTATTTTTAATTGCTCCCTTGAAAATTAACTCTCACATATCTGAACTGCGTGACTAATAGAGAGAAGTGGCAAATAGCTCATTTACAGAGAAAAATAGTAAATACACTCTTTAATAGAACAAAAAAGAATATCAGCAAGTTTTACTGACATTTCTTACAGTGATAAATCCACTGTACCCAAAGCAGAGTAATCAATGGAAATCAGTACTACCCTTTCTTGGACTTAACGGGTGCTCCACCTTTAGGGATTAGGTGCTCTCTCCATTCTTCAGCGACATTCTGCTGGCCCATCTGCCAAGCAAAGCGAAGGGAGCTGCCTACCTATGGGACACTGAGCTGAGCCAAGGAGCTCATTCTACATTTACTGAAGGCAGACAGGAGATGTGTAGAGCCACTACACCTGGATCCATCAATAACATCTCAGTTAGAACTGTATTACTTGCAATAGGCTTACAGCACAGCTAGGTCTTCCTGGACTTAGTCAAGATGGAATAACACTGCATTGTGCCTTCATTACTTGCATATAAGTTGATGCAGTGATACTAGAATTTTTAAGGTGGTAAGAAGATACAGGCACCTAATCTGATCTCTGAATCACACAAGAGCACCCACAGGTAATGGTCATGGCTACATGATGCTGGAGTAACGCAGCAAATGCATGATTTGTGATTGTGCACTGCAGTAGACTACAGTTGGTGAAACTGTAAATGGGAACTCTTGAATTATTTCTCTGCCAGTTATGGGATAAAAAATTGCCTACAGGCTGGTCTAGGTGAGGCTGCATTAAGCTAAGCTGTAGATGAAATTATTGTTGTATTCACTGCAAGGGCTGCTATGACAACAGATGAATGCTGCAGGTAATTTAATTACATTTCTGCCAGTCCCTCTGCCTTTCAGGAGACAATGCAGCAACCAACAGCATTTTCTTTTAATTTTGCAGGTGGCACAAAAATCACATGTCAATTTCTCCTCCAGAGGGCCTAACAAGAGCATTTCTCTTGAGACATGAAACATTATTTAAGTACCTTGACGGACTGCTTGTGCTTTCTCCCAGCATCTCCAATCCAGCATGCTTTCACCCCACAGTCTCAGCAGTCGCACTGCGCAGTGACACTTTGAGTCCATCCTCTTCTTTGCAGCCGTACAACACCCCCGTGGGCTGAGCCCTGACAGCAGCATCTCCATTTGCACACCGAAGATAGAAACGCTTCCACTGAAAACAAAGTAACAAAGCCCAGCTCAGCCCAAAGCCAACAAAGCCCCACGGAGCACAGGCACCTTCGTGTCCAGCTCGCACTGTGCCAGAGGACAGCAGGATGCAGCAGCGGGTGGCTGCCAGCAAGCAATGTCTCCTTCTCCACAGCACAGGAGATGATGTGGGGCAAATGGGAGTTTTAATTACACGACAGAGTTTTTAATTAATTCTGTTAACTCTTGGAGGCATTTCTCCAGCAACAGCAGAAGGGGGGAGGGCAGTCAGTGCTCCATGCTGCGCCTTCAGCTGTGCTCCAGCAAAGCATCCTCCTGCCCTGCCCCTACCCAAGGCACTGGGAAGAAATAAATGTGTGAAAATCAGCGTTCATCCAGCAAAAGAGAGCTGAGAAAGCCACAGTGCCGGGTGGCTGTCTGCATCCTGCACTTATCTTTCATGTCTCAGGTGTGTTTTAAATGAACACCACTTGATCATATTAATGGGAAAAAGTGCTAGGGGAAGGAGGTGAGAAAAGTTCCTCTGTGATCGTGAACTGCGCAGCTGGCGAAGGAAAACAACCGCTTTAAGGACAAAGTATCGACTGAACGAACAGGGAGAAGTTAATAGATATTGACTTGCATTTGCTGTAAATAGGTCACAGCACACCAGCATGTTCTTCTCTAAGGCATGATGAAACACAGCAAGTGCCACAATGGGCAAACGTTTAATGTTACACACATGACATTCCCTGCTACAGAGACAGTATTTTCCCATGCAAAATCCCTGACATCTACAGAGCAGCACTGATGACACTGGGAGTGGTGAGAGCTCAGCTTGGCTCGAGCAGTGATCTGCAGCTCCCCAAATCTGCACACAAAATCAGTCAAATAACCCTTTAATTTACATAAATTAAAGAAGGAATATCATAATTATCTATCGTTTATCTGCGTGAGGAGAAATCCTTCCATAGCAGAGCATAAATTCAGTCACCATGCAATTAACTCATAGTTACATGGCTGCAGAACAAATGTGCAACAAGATTCAGATAACATGTGAAGGCGATAAGAAATACCCAGGCATTCACTAGCATTAAGGAAATTAGCCACACCAAATTAGATATCAATGAACACACTTACTACCATTTAAGTTATTATTCTGAATATAAACTGAAACTCAATTATCTTTACAGTGCTCTGACCAACCTGTATTAGAAATGCTATGCACTGAAAAGGTACAAACTCACTGCCTTCTTCTCAACAATCCCCCTGGAATGAAGAGAGAAAGGTGGAACAACAGTGAAGGCAGTGTCAAGGCACTGAAGGGAGATCCTGGGAGACCTGGATGCTTTCCTGATATGAGCAGCTTTGTGCCTCCATTTCCTCCTCTGCCGTATGGAGATAATTATACTTCCACTGTGAAGGGCTTTGAAATGGCTCTGATGAAAAGTTCTACAAAATGCCAAGTTATTACTCATGCTCATCCATCAGGTTTGGTGGAGTGTTGGCATATTTAGTGAGCATGGGAGACACTGATAGTTCATAAATTCCAATTCATGCTGGATTCTCTCAAAGGAATAACAAAATAAAGGGTGATCTGATGAACAGGCAAATAAAGGTTGAATATAATTCATGAGTCCAATGAATGAAACACCTCTGAAGTAGCACCTGACAAAATTCCCAAGGTGAGAAGAAAAGCGTGAAGAAAAGCATCACTGTGCCTTTTGCACAGACCATCCCCAGAGCTCCAGGAGGGAATAAAAACTGGGATGGCAGTGTCTTCAATTTAGGAATTGTGCCTTCTTATATCAGGAAGCATGAACCAAGGATATATTCATGTGTATATAAATATACATACACACAGCTAGAAAGAAAAGTTCCATGTTAAAGCTATCAGAATAACAAGTTCTGTTTGGAGGCTTTGCAAGCTGTTCAGGTCCTCCAAGTGAATTCCAATAAAAATTTGCACATCCACCATGCTGTTCTCTACTCTGAACACTTCAGAAGTAACTTGGGTTCATTAGCACTATTTTTCACATCTTTCCACTGATACAGCCAAGTTCCCTTGGCAACACAAGTCAAAATGCACAGGCCTAGCATTAGAAAAAAATATAATTAATGCATTTTGAGAATGAATAAAATTGACCTAAAATAGCCTTATTTTATATTTGCAATTTGAAGCTTTAACATCTTGGGATTCTCAGAACCTGCAGCCACTTCTCCACATCTCACTGAAGGGCTTGGCTTTGTTCTCAGTGGTATTCGGTTCCTGGTCCGGATGCTCAGATGAAATAAAATAGTTTCACTCTACTGACAGGCGATCTCTGATCAGCACAAGATCTCCCCATTGCTAAGGACACAAGGCTCACTGGGCTTCTGACTCCAGCCATGCCTTTAAGTCTCCATTCCCCCCTTCCTACTTCGCCTGCTGGGATCTGGCCTTGAACAATCAGCTCCATTCATGGGGAATCATTAAACTCCACCACCTGTAGACAAACCACTCAGGGTCTCACAGCCCTCTTATCATTCCCACCATCTAAAGAAACAGCAACAGTGCTTTCTAGAAAGCCAGGTATCAGGTATTAGAACAAGAGCAACTCAAGGACTGCTGTTCCTGGCTGCAGGAAGTCTCATTTGTCACAGATCCTGCTAAATGTCATTCTGCATCACTCTGTCCCACCACGACAGGTTCTGATAGCAAACTCTTTCCTCTTACGGCTTTTCCCCTTCTTTGGAATTATTAAAAATCATCACAGCAGCGGACATGACAAAATGTGACTGGTAAACCATTTCAGAAAGGCTGCACGAGCCCTTAAGCTAACAGGTCATCCCGCCATATTTAACAACACACCCAAAGCTGTTCACCCAGATCTGCCAGGAGACTTTCCACATCGCCTTCCTCCCAGCACACGTAGAATCTAGGAAGAATTTTCTGGAAACTCTAGTAGTGCACAGTCTTTCCCTCTGCCATCTCTCCTGATCAGAAGTTCCAACAGGATCATTCAGAGTGTTTTTATTTGTCCCTTTGAGCTCGCTGCCTGGCATCCTCCCACAGCCAATTCCTTTAAGGATTTGTCTTTCTCTCTGAGGCAAAGCAGACATTTTGGTATGTGCAACCAGCCTGCTTGGTCTGCTTAATGAAAACATCAATAAAGCACGGACTGGAAAAGGAGAGGGAGGTACACAGTCATTAAGACCTGTTATTAGTGATCTGCACAATGCCACAAGCTTTTGTACATAAGCAATTAATACAGCAAAGAATACCACGATGAGATGGAGAAACCTCACTGAAACTGGAAAATGTAACCACTGCCCTCCACTTTGGTAATTAACAGAAGCGGTTAAGCACCTTCACGGAAAAAAAAAGCTGAGATCCTGCTGCAGACACAGATGTTGCCCCTCAGTCCCAAGAGAGAAATCTTCTTAAAAAGAAGCCATCACCACGAGAACAAATGCCAGCCCAATCATCCATCCAGATCTGTACGCCACCAACCCGCCTTGATGTAAATACTGGGATCACAGAAGGGTGAACATGACATTTACTCCTACTGATTGAGTCAGCAGGCAGAATATAGAGCCTAGATGTCACAAGAAGGGGGACAGAATATCTCATCTGCTGCTACACAATTAACTCATCAAGAATTCTTGAGTGCACTTCAGTGACAGGTTGAGTTGACACAAGAGCAATGCTTCTCTTTGTATTTTTGACATGCATTTCAAACCCCAGCGCTGGATTTACTGGAAAGTAAGGCCATAGTTGGAGATGGGTGTTGGTAGAAACATGGGAATGCTCTGTCTAGCCACAGAGGGAGCCTGACTCCGCAGATGTGACCACAGAGGCTTGGATTCCTTGTTTCTATTTTAAACCTTTGCTCCCAGATACAATTCTTCACCCACTGGTTCAGAACATTTTGCAGAGTTGAGTTTCCCCAAGGAAAGCACAGTCTGCAATAGTTTTCCCACTATTTGCTCGTACACACCAGTTACCAGCAACTTTTCTAATAACTCATTGCTCATGCAAATTAATTCAGCTTAGAGAAACAAGTCTTGATGATTATAAAACGCTGCAATCACAGTATTGCTTCCGGCCATCTGAGAGTAAATTCATCAAGCATTTGATATTTAAAGCTGCCGTGGTGATGAATGCATGCCTTCATTTATGACTGTAGACCAGAGAGAAAACAGAATACAGAAAAATGACTGCATGATGGGAATCCCAACAGAAACCACTGGAGACAAAGGCAGAGATACGAAATCCCTTTCATAACCAGCTGAACGTATCTTACATGCAGCAACTCATCCTCTCTTATTTAGCACAGACCTATTAAAACAGAAGCATCAGCAAACAGCAGTTGTACTCAGCCAGAAGCACTGTGTGGTGTTCCTGTTGACTGTATCTGATAAAAACCTTATTATGCCAAGGTCAAGGACAGCATACAGAAGGAGGTGTCTCTTCTGCCCCTCAGTACACATGCAGTCAACTGTTACGATTATGGATGTTCACTCTAGGTGTGCAGAGCATACAAAGAGGAGGATGAGCTCCTCTGAGGTGTTGATAACAACCCTGCTGTTGCTGTGTATCTTGTTCTGTATACAGCATTAATGTGAAAACAAAAGGAAAGCGTACTGAATAGTAAATACCCATGATTACATTGCACTAATTGTTTTCATGGTGTCCCGTGGAGTCAAAGTTTAAAGCAACGCTGTGAAATACAAAGAAATAGTGACTCCATTGTTACTCACATTAATGGCATCAATCACAATGAATTATCTTAGTAACAAATGTGCAAGAGCAGTGAAAGATGATTTGAGGCAAGTCATGTCAGGCTCACATCACTCCCAGAGCACCCAAGCTCCTCTGCTGGCACTAGGGGCATTTCCAAACAGAACCTTGTTCTGCCATGCGAAATAAAGCAGCAGGATCTGAGAGGCTTTTTCCCCCACTTGCTCTCACTTTGTCCTCCAAGCAGTCACACAGTACCTTCCTGCACCCTGCAGACAGCAGCAGCAGTGACCTGTGG